TGATTCGTGAAATAGAAAATGGAAGGAAAAAAGCTGATGTATGCCGCGAATTTGGTTTGGTGAATTCTACAGTACAAACGATATGGAGAATCCATATTAATTCCACGTTAATGTTACGTTAGTCTGTACTTAACTACGTATTTCACTAAAAAATGCAACATTTTAACTCGGTTTTTGGTAGATGTTTACGTGACTAACAAGGCTACTGTGGAAGTGCCCATTTCGGTTACAACGACATTTCGTTTATAACGATACTATTTTTACGTCCCTTTGATGACGTTATAACCAAGTTCTACTGTAGTTGAACAAAGCGGTACTCTTCTCTTATTAAATTTCCGTTTCTGAAAAGATGTATTTATATAGGCTGAATGTAGTAACAGTTTCTTGCTGGTCGTAACCCTTAAGCACGGTGGCAACTCTAAGTACCCTCTGCTTAACACTGCAGATTTTGCATTTTATCCACACAGGATTTTTACGTGTTTTCTGATTCTCATTAAACATCGATTATTTCCGTAAACAGCACTGAGAAGTTGATCTTTGTAATGGAGGCGCAGTGTGCTGTATGTGAATTAGGAACTGAATTTTTAGATGTTAATGGTTTTCCTTTACCTTCAAGCAAATGCTGGTATAGTTTTCAAGCTCCAGGATGCTACTGCATGTTTGTCATGCAGCCTTCCCGATTTCAATTCATGGAAATTAAACCCCTTGCTTTGATTGTCGTCAAATTACCTCTTCACGTTATACTGTTCACACTTAATGACAAAATCAAAATTGCACTGCCCTTTTCATAGGTCATTACTTTTTATCATTCTAAAAGCTGGTACTCTTTCTCACCCCTGAAATAAAGTGTCTCGTTTCTTCCATGCCCTTCCTTCTTCACATAATCTTCTATTCTTTCTTCTGCCGTACACTGGTTAACAGAACTTATAACGTGATTTAATATAGTTTTCTGTAAACATACAGGCTAATGAGCATGGCACGCTTCTTAGATAGCACACACACACACGATGCTGACGTACTAGTATCACCCCTACGATTTTCTATCTCATTCAGGCTTCAAACAGTTAATATTCCATACAGAGGCTCAAGAGGTAAATAGTATACGTCACACCTTTGACGCTTTATAGTACAAAGTACTTTTCATTTCGGATAAATAGCTTTGCGCAGTTAACGTGTACATAGGCTAATCTTTCATTTATATATCACATAGCAGATTGCTCTGTAGCATACATTACGCGTCCTTGTAAAGGACCAAGTTGCAGCAAATGGCGCCGTTCTGCTAGGCATTACGAAATTTCAGAACTGTTTGACACTGATTTCAGAACCCGTTGCGTTACCCACGTTTTTTTTTTTTTTTCCAGAAGGTGTGATAATTGACACTACTTGTTATCTCATTACTTTTGTTTGTTTTTATAAGTTTATGGCTACAAAACCTGTTCTACAGTCATGTAATTCTTTCTCTTTCCGAGACACTGTAACGCCACAATTCTGTCGAGTAATCTACGTGGTAGAGTCATTAAGTTCGTGGAATGTGGTTTTATCGCACCGTATTACAAGGTATGCACATACACTTACACAGATCCACATCGGCCCTCAAAATAGTTGCCGTTGGCCGCTATGCAAGTCTGCCAACGTTGATTAAGTTCGTGGAATGTGGTTTTATCGCACCGTATTACAAGGTATGCACATACTCTTACACAGATCCACATCGGCCCTCAAAATAGTTGCCGTTGGCCGCTATGCAAGTCTGCCAACGTTGATTAAGTTCGTGGAATGTGGTTTTATCGCACCGTATTACAAGGTATGCACATACACTTACACAGATCCACATCGGCCCTCAAAATAGTTGCCGTTGGCCGCTATGCAAGTCTGCCAACGTTGATATAGCTGCCGAAAACACTGCCGAAATATATTGGCAGGAAATTTCCGTACGGCGTCTCTTGTGGCAATGACGACCTCCTCGGACGACTGAAATCTACGACCACGTAGCTTTGCTTTCAAGCGGTGAAAGAGAAAGAACTCGCATGGTGCGAGATCAGGTGAGTACGGAGGGTATGGCAAAACGGTGACCTGTTGCCTTATCAGTTCCTCTTGGACAAGAATAGAGCGATGTGCAGGGGCGTTGTCGTGTAGCAACAGTCAATTGTTCGTACGCCAAACGTTTCGCTAAGGGATTTGCCTAGTTTCTGACAGAACTTGATGTTTGCCCGTTGTTCAAACTGCCACGTTTTCGATTTCCGCCACTCGCATGTAACTGCAGTCCACACTAGAGGCCGTAGTTCTAATAACACTGTTTGCACACAACTGCCTTTTGCTGTGACGAGAGATGAACCGACAGGGCATCATATCGGACTCATCTGCTGTAGTGCACTGCGACGCTTTGCGGCCATTCCACGAACTTGTTGACTGTGATAGTATGTTGTGATGATGCTATGCGCTTCAGTTCGGAAGATGGCCGTTTCGAATCTCGGCCGGGTTATCGTCTTCCCCAATCTTCAAATGAAGGATGGAACAATACCACAACTGTCTCCTTTATTCCTTTCAATTCACCGCCAATGAACGTCTTTCATCCCTTATAATCACCTACTCTGTAGTCGAAATGACATCGCAAAGCATTAGGCCCACATTGAAGGGTTTTTCGGACGAATATTCCGCCTCCATCTTCAGGGCCGAGGAATAAGCCAAGCAAGAAACAAGAATGAACCAGAGTGAAACTCTGCTTGCTTCATTCTCGTTTCTTGCCTGGCTTATTCTTCGACTCTGAAGATGGAGGCGATATTTTACTCCGAAATTTTAGTTGATTTCCAGCGAACTATACCGCGTTATGTCCCAGGAGAAATTTCCCTTCGTAACCACCTGTGTGAAAACCTAAAGTACTACATAGGTCCTCATTATTTCCAAACCAGTATGCTGCGGTATCCTGGCGTGAGGCCTTATTTTTAATTCAAACATTTAGTACATTAAAAAACGGTAGTTCACATTAGGGTTCTTTTTGTTGATAACAGTTATAGATTTTATCACTATTCTTAAATTACATATGTCTTTGAAATCTTTTATGTGCACATACTGTACAGTTTTCTTTAATACACCCCCCCAACATGGTGATCCTATGACCGGAACATGCTGAAAATTCGATCACGATACTTGACTGGTGACATGGATCTATACATCCACATCCCCTTACGCCTTCGTGGCGTAGTGCTTAATTAGTTAAGAGCACAGGAACAACTTTACCTTAACTTGGCTGGTGATTGCACATTTCGTTGTAACAGTTCACAAAGTATAATAATGTGAGGTTTGTTTTTCTCATAGCAATGACTGTGAAGACTGTTGTTTCCTAGGATTTGACACCGTGTAGTCCGGTAGATCGCTAGAACTTGCTGATTCCGTTTTCAGGATAGAAGATAGAGAGGGTAGACATTCCTCTGAAATGGCCGTAACAATCAACCAGGCTATATGGCGTTGCATTCCAGGTCCCAACATAGCTTCATCCCCCACAAATGCACCACAATAAATAAGCGTATAACCTGGTAATTGGTCCTGGTTTCAACCCCGCTTACAGCAAAATCTACCACTGGACATGGTTCTGAGGCAGGTCCATCTTAATGCTCTCTTTTTAGTCTTTCAGGTGGTTTCCCCACCAACATTCTTTATTCATATACTGCCGTCCTAATCTAGCCTACATGTCCAGCCCATTATGTTTATTTAATTGTTTGTTTAATGGCGCATTCTGTAGCTCAGGCTGTGTAGTGTAAAGTGGTAGGATGATTAGTCAATAATGAATTTGAAAGAATGTGTCTGGGAGTGATCGTGGCAAAATTGTAGGGACACCCTCAGCATTTACCCAGATGAGCAGAATAAAGCCACCAGAAGGCACAAGAAGAATAGTCAGTCTCGTGGCCAGGATTTGAACTTATGATCCCCTGTATCCAAAGCAGGAGCCCAATCCACTTGACTGTGTCTAGCACATTGTAACGCCCTTGATTTCACAATTTTGCAGTAATGCACCCACTTACTCTTCATAATTCTTTGGGCTCAATATTTATAACATCTTGCCTCATAATTACAGACCATGTTTCACACCGATGCCAAATAACCTAATTATTGTTTTGCATATCTTGATGATTCACCGCCTCAGTGGTGTAGTGGTCAGAGTTACTGGCTACAGATCCTGAGGTCCCGGGTTCAATTCCCGGCGCTATCAGATTTTCTGAGAAGTAGTGGGTCTTGAATGATGTCCACCCGGCGTCGTGAGGATAATTGAGGAGCTACTTGAATGGAAAATCAAAGGCTCCGGTTTAGAAAACCGAGATTGGCCGTGAGAATCCGTTGCGCCAACCACACGACACCGTCTATCCGCTAAAGTTGGCAGTAACTTCGCCAACAAGCGGCCGTCGCTCGGTCGGTATAGTTCGCTTTCAGACTAAAAGCCACGGAGTTAGTTTATATCTTTATGATTAGTGTTATTTGAAAGTAGATGAGATTACAGGTTCTTAAAATTGGTTCAGATTATGACCTTCTGAGTTGTGATACCGACGTTTCGGAGGAACCTACTTCCTCCATATTCAGGGTTGAAGAATCAGGTTACACATGCAAATTGCAGGAACTGTAGTCACTCAAACTCACAGGGGAGGGAGAGGAAATTGAAACAATTTTGGTCAATAGAACCGGTGAGCACAGGATTTTCTTCATCACAGAAGGGAAAGAGGACTTGGTGATGAAAGAAAGTCAGCCTCTTTTCAGCGTACAGTAGTGGCTGTCTTTTGTTATAATTTGATTTCCTTCCATACCACACAGTATCACAACCTACGGTCCATAATGAAAAATCAATACCATGAAAACCTCAAAACTTACACAAATAAGCAGCTTTCCAGAATGTATGGGTCTCTGTGTTTTATCATGAATCTCATTTCTACTTCATCATCTTGTTCTCAGATATGTGTACTTGTATGCTGTTGAATTTTCCAATATCAGGTTCTAATGACCTATTTCTGTTGCAGGTGTTTCGTCCACTCCAAACATGCCAGGTGGAACCCCAGGAACCCCTTCTTCCAAGGTCAAAGTAAGTAATGACCCTGCCGTTTCCTTCCCATAGTTTTGAGAATGGGCCTAAAATCAACGTTGTAATATGTTCACCCTCTTGATTAGAGAGTTCATATTGTGTGACAGTGGTTTAACATTGTACTTGCAGTACAATTTGATAAACAGTCTTTGTTGTTGGTAATGGTTACTTACATTTTACATCTGTGGGTTCATGGACTTACATACATGTCTTGTGACTTTCAGAAAATGATTTATTATCATGATTACATATTGTCACGTGTATGAGTGTGACTATAGATGGGGTTTGGCCGCGCCATAGCTCAAGCGGTTAGTCGCTGGCTTCCCACTGCGGCTGCCCGGGTTCGATCCCGGGTCTGGTCAAGTGGGATTTGTGGTGGACAAAGTGGCGCTGGGGCAGATTTTCTCCGAGTACTTCAGTTTCCCCTGCCACTCTTCTTTCCACAAATTGCTCCACAATCACCCTCACCTATCATCTGGGGCTGGTACAATAGACCATAAGTGACCGCAGTACAAGGGACTTAGTCCCACCCAACTAGCAATAAAAAATAAATGGGGTTTGGATTGGTAAATGGATTTATTGAACACTAACAGAACGTAACTTCAAATAACTACGACAGCCTCAATGAGTTACACACTGAAGGTCACTGTAGCCATAGCACACCTAAATTGTTCTCAGTCTTCTCCAGCCATTGCTTGGTAGCGGCTTCCAACGGCTGACATTCCCCTTCCTCTGGGTTCCCAAACTATCCCCGTTCTCAGATACCAGTTCCTCACAGCAACAGCTCACAATGACTGGACCTCAGCCGTCCTCTAACTCATTCACTCACTCACCAACCAACTACTCCTCACTTCACTCAACTCAGCTGACCTCAGAGTCAGAGTCAGAGTTAACTTTACTACTGGCGTTTTACTGCCAATCAGTTCGTCTTGTCACCAATCCCATTGAGACCCACGACTAGCAATTATTTTTTTCAACTGAACACTTGTGTTCATAGCCGTTATGTAACGAGTCCGGCGGGACTTGTGGCCACATTTTCTGATTCATATTTGAGACTCCCACACATGGAGGGCCAGGTCCCTATATTTATATCCCCCCCCCAGAAAAAGGGTGGCTCAGTTATACCCCCAGGCACTGGATTCACTTTCTGTCACTTGCTACTACTCACAGGGCTACAGTGGAGGTATTCAACCCTACCTTAACAGTGGCTACATGATTGCTACTCAGCCTAGCAACAGCTGTTGTTTGCAGAGCAGTTACTTAGCAACGGCTATTGTACAACTGCTTTACTTGCTGCTTTTGCCTAGCAGCGGATCTACAGGCCACAATATTAATCATCATAGTCCCAGTACCTTTCTTATGGAGACAAGAATGAGGAAAGAAATTGATTTTGATCAGAACTTATGCAAAGTTAACAACTTTCCTAGGGTTGTCTCTCCAACAGACAACTTGTTTTTTGCCACTTTTTTTTTTAATTCTCTTAGTGGGGGGGTTGAGTCCAACTGGGTCCACTGGGTACAGCGGCCACTGATTGGCCTATTGTAGCCTGCCTCAGGTGATTATGATGATGGAGAATTTGGTGGAATGAAGATTAGCAAGGGAAACCGAAGTACTCGGAGAAAACCCGCCCCACAAATCCCACTTGACCAGACCCCGGGATCGAACCCGGGGCGCCGCGGTGGGAAGCTAGTGACTAAACGCTTGAGCTATGTCGCGGCCTTTTGCCACTTCTTACTGAACGCATAGATTGGGAGTAACAGTGAAACATAGTTGTTCCATAATGATGAAATCATGTTGCAGATCACATTCTGATTTTAACTAAATATGTTGCAGGAGAAATCGATGATCAGGCCGAAAGTGGTTGTGGCTTTGTACCCTTTTAAAGCAGTTGAAGGAGGTGACCTTTCCCTTGAGAAGGTGAGTGTTCTTAAAAGGAGGGTAATAAACATGAGTCAGTTCATTATTGCCTCTATTACAACTGTCACAACACAACAAATATCAAGATCAGTGCCTAGTTTTGGCTCTGCTACATGTTTCTACTGCTATTAATAGCCATCATCAGGCAAATATTGTAACACAACAGGATGCATGAAATGAATATTAGTTCATTATTACTTAATGTCTACATAATATAAAACACTCCCAGCAAAACGTTTATTAATTTAAATTTCCACGTTCTTGTTGAGACCCTAAATTTTCATTAACTTTTTCAGTGGTTGAGACAAGATATCTGTTTATTGACTGCTGTATATCTGCATAGAACAACTGTTTTATTTGATAATTAGAGATCATAGGATACTGCAGTGGTATAATTATATTATATGGGCATGTATTGGTGAGACAAGGAATGCATACAGAATTTTGGTAGGGAAACCTATTGAAAAAGAGACAGTTGTAAATCTGAGAAAATATAAGGATAATATTAAGATGCATCTTAGGGCAGTGGTTATGAGAATGGGGAATGGATTAAACTGGCATCAACATGGAAATGGATAGTTTTAATATGGAGGAGATATAAGGGTGACATTGAGATAAATCTTAGGCTGATGGTTGTGAGAATGGGAGGTAAATTGAACTGGCTCAGAATCTTGTACCGTGGTAAGAGCTTTCATATTATGTGTTGATTATTGAACTCCAGAACAAGAGAGTTAATTTACACCATTTTTACACACTTCATTTTCAGGAATAGATTTTACAGTTTTCACTCATCTTCCCCCTATTTTCAGTTTTGCATTAACATCAGCACCTTCTGGTAAGAGTATTTTGGTATGTCATGCGCCCATGTTAATGGAAGGGGCGCATGACATACCAAAATAATGTTAATGTATCGTGAAATTATGTAATACAAACCCGTGTTATAATTGCAGACACATTCCTACATACAGTATTTTGCCCCACAGTTGTAATAAATGCTTACTGTTTTATGCATGAAAGACAGAAGTAAGTACACAAAAGCGAATTTAAGAAACTTAAAATTTTACGGACTTCTTAAATAGGGGTTATAAGCTGTGAAGTCTAGAATAAGCTATGCATAGCAGCCACACTACCCACCATATCACTACGTCACCGATGCATACACATAAGATAGCCATATCCTGCTGGTCACTGAGTATACATGTATCCAGTCTGAATTTCTTAACAAGTAATGATTTCTTTAAAATGGAGATACTTTTGGTTGAGTTTATTGTTTTCCGTGTAATTATGTGTGTTATCCCACATTTGCATAAATGTAAATTGATGGTCTGTATCCTAAATTTGATGGTCATGTTTATAATTTTTGTAAGGATGAAATTCCAGAACCTGAAGATCCAAATGAAGGGGTGCACTGTACTTTCTTAACAGTATTGGCTGGTTTTTGTGATGAGTTATTTGTGTATAATTTTTTTATATAAGAATTCTGCTAAGATACCAACATTTTTTACATTCTGCAATATTGCTCACTGATAGGCTGATGAATCATTACCTTTTACATCAGTAAATTGCCTTTTGTCATTTAATTTTATATGAGTAATTCATTTCTCACAGGGTGCAGAGTATGAGGTACTAGATGATTCACAGGACCATTGGTGGAAAGTGAAAGATGAGCAAGGGTGAGTTAATGCTTCAGAGACTTGAAATTTAGGAATCCATGTCATGATGTTAGCCAGTGGTGACATCATTAGTTAGGAAGGTCTTGGTTCCTTACCTTCAGCATGAAATCTGCAAGGCAGCTGTCTGGAATCGACACTTGCCCCTAAGACACTTGCTGTAGTGGTATTGTTCTAAGCTTATATTCAGGAGATGCACAGTTTTAATTTTGGAAAAGTGCTGGATTAGGGCTACTGAAGGCCCTAAGTTATCATAAAGATGAGCCCCTTATAATATTTAATATATATATATATATATATNTAATTACTTAAGCATACTTTTCCTGAAAGAACTTAATTTAGCAGCAAGTATAACAGAATCCTGTATTTTGATAAAATGGACTGCACTTAAATAAATGGCTGAGGAATATTAATTTACATGTGTATGTGGGTGGTTAAGAATGTCCTGTCACATTTTATCAGTGTGACTGGTACACTGGTTTTTGGATTGGATAATTGGATTTATTGATCACTCTTTTACAATCACTCATAATCACAATAACTCACAATAAATATTCAGCCAAACCCTTCTTCCTTGACTGTCAAGGACTCATTCCATTCTCATTCTGATCTCTGGCTTATTTCTGATACGATTCTTGACAACTCACTATTTGACACATTTCATCTTCTCCTGACTGGACATTCCAGACTTCAGACTTCTAACTGAACTCTCAGTTAATGTTGACTTCTTGTTATATAGCCTCGGGCCAGACCACAACACAGAAAACACATCCTTTGCCTAGCAATGGATGCCCTGTATTATAGTGTATTATATAGACATATATAGACATAATAGACCTGAATCGTGAAATTAAAAATGTCTGGTCGTGTTTATCAAGATTCCTTTCTTTATCCTTCCTGGCTGTTTGAATTAATCAGTTTCTGAGGTAGATACACCCCTGAAGCAGAAAGTGCTATTCCCATGGGAATGCAGGGCAAAATCATGACATAAAGATAGGTAACAGAAGTTTTGAAAATGCGGCACAGTTCAAATATTTTGGAACAGTGATAACAAATCTTGATTCAGGAGGAAATTAAGAGGAGATTGAACTTTGGATAATGCTTTCTACCATTCAGTCCAAAACCTTTTGTCTTCTCCTCTGCTGTCTAAAAACAAGATTTAGAATATACAAAGCCATAATTGTGCCTGTGGTTCTGTATGGGTGTAAAACTTGGTTTCTGACATTAAGGAAGGAACATAGACTGAGGGTGTTGAAGATCTTATTTGGACAGAAGAGAGATTGGAGGTTGGAGAAAACTGCATAAAGAGGAGCTTCATAACTTGTACTCTTCTCCAAGTATAATTAGGATGATCAAGTCAAGGATGATAAGGTGGGCAGAGCATTTAGCACAAATGGGGGAGAAGAGGAATGCATATAGGATATTGTTGGGAAAGCGAGAAGGAAAGAAACCACTGGGAAGACAAACGCATAGGTGAATGGTGAATGGACAATGTTAAAATGAATCTTACAATGAAAGGATGGAATGATATGGATTGGATTGATTTGGCTCAGGATAGGGACCAATGGAGGGCTCTTGTAAACACTATAATGAACCTTCAAGTTCCATAAAATGCTGGGAAGTTCTTGAGTTTAGGTGCACAATTGTCGGCTTCTCAAGAAGGGCTCAGCTCCATGAGTGAGTACATGTTCGTCTTACTAGGCATGACTTTCATACAAGAGAAAAATTTGTTTATGGGATATAAGATTTGCCTTTGCCAGACTGTGAATAAAATGAAAACATCTTTTCTGTCCCTGGGTAAAAGCCTTGTAGTTTTCTACTGTCACTGTCCTCTCTTGAGCATCATGTTAACTGATTCCCTGCATTCATATTATCATATAGGAGTAGGCTTGTCTGGCAATTTTACCACTGTAGTAGCTCAGCTCCAAACCAAAGACCAGTACAATATCAGGAAACAGTGAAGCTTCCCACTAATTACATAATTTTTGTGTATTATGTTAGCACCAACATCATTACTTCAGTATATTAGTCATTCTTAAATCTTTTAATTTTCCATTTTCTGTGGTATTATTTTTATTACTGCTCTTTTTTTATTCCTGCAGGTCCATTGGTTACATCCCAAGCAATTATGTAAAAGAAAAAGAGCTGCTAGGATTGCAGAAGTATGAGTAAGTAACAACCAATGTCATGCCCCATTTCTTCTGATGCTGTTCCTTCTTTTGAATTTATTTTTACTGTTATTGTTGTTATTGTTGCTGTAATAGTCATTGGGCTTTTTCTGCAGTGAAATGTTAGAAAGGAAATTCTTGGACCATTTGCTTACAGATATTGCATAGATTGGATGATTGCTTCTGTTTTTCAGGTGGTATGTAGGTGATATGTCTCGCCAAAGAGCTGAATCTTTACTGAAGCAGGAAGACAAGGAAGGTTGTTTTGTAGTCCGTAATTCTTCTACGAAGGGTCTCTATACACTCTCACTGTACACAAAAGTGTGAGTAGTACATTCTTTGTCATTACTTCAGTCAGATCAATAAACTTCTTCCTTAACTGTGAAATTTTCAATTGTGATTTCTTGCAACACACAACGCTGTAAATTATAATTGCTTGGAAAGAAGGTCAGAGATTTATGCAGTAATATTGATTAATTGTTTTTTGAGTTGTTTTGGGAGAAACTTCAGTATCTGAGTGTAATTTCTAGCCTCAATCTTCAGAGTGTAAGTGAAATGGAATTTATTGAGTCATGTATGACATTCACTTTGTTCCTGATTATTATATGATGAGACTCTCTCAGTACTGTACATTTCTTTAGAACAGGCTGATACATTAATCTTTCTGTTCTGTTCAGTTCTTATTGTTACTGTTTATTGTTAAAGCAATTTCCATTGTATGAGGTTGTGATCAGAAAATTTCTGGATTGGCTGTAAGACAGCAGAATCATAGTACAGAGATTTTCTGCTAGATGGTTATAGAATAGAATCTGCTGAATCATTTTCCAGCACTGCAAAATCATAGAGATGTCATTCAAAATGATGCATCATAAAGTTGATTGATTTGTAGAGTTAAAAAAAAATGGTGTGACTTCTGTTTGAAGGGGCTCAATGCTTATATCATTGTTCTCAACAATGATGGAATTTGTGCACCAGAAGTGTATCCCACATGGAAAAAGTGGGAATCAAAACTTCTATGCAGATCTTCTGTGATATCTGTAAAAATGTGGCAAGAACATTGTGAAAATACAGAGCGCAACAGAGATTGATTAGTTTCTCCACCACAGTGCTCACTGTGCTTTTCCTGGCCAGAAATCACATGACCGTTATCCTCCACCCTCTGTTCTCCCCAGACCTAGCCCCATCTCTCTCTCTCTCTCTCTCTCTCTCTATCCAAGACTCAGCTCATTACTGCAGAAAGATTTGGTGATATCATTATGATCAAGAAAAACTGCAGACTATTCTTGCAGAGGACTTCTACATATGCTTGCAACAGTAGCAGAATCGCCAGAAGGAGCTGATTACTGTGAAGGAAACCTCATAGAATAGCTGCTAGATGTAGTAAAGTGTAAAGAAAAGAATTCAGTCTGGAAATTTTTTGGTTACACCATATATAAATATGACTGCCCTGTTTTCCTCTTGTTTTAAACATGTAGTTCATATGTTTTTGAAGAAAAAGATATTGTTACATGTAATAATCTTCCTAGAAATAAGTTCTTTATGATAGTTGAGCCTTTTTTTTTAATTTTAAATTCATTTTCCAACACACAGTTTCACTGTAGTCTGAAATAATATGTTAGCATCTTCCATCTCCATGCACAAGTATGACACAAATTTTCTAGCTCATCTTCCTTACATCTTCAGTTTCCAGAAACCAAGTCTCCACCAAGTCATACAACTTCTTTAATTCTTATTACAATATTTGGTATATTTGTGTGGACCCTGACTTCATTTTTATACTACAGTAAATGATTAATGGTAACATTTCACATATTTCAGATAAGATATTTTAGAGAAGGTTCTCTACTCTTTCTCAATGTATCTAAAGTTTACAGTGAAATTATTCTTTTGATCTATATTTATGGAGATGAAGTCTATCATAGTAAGCTTGATCACTCCATGTTCATCATCAGGCTGTCTAATTGGGATGAAAAATGAATTTTCAGTAGGGCCTGGTTGTACAGGTTTTTTAAAGTAAATGTGATGATTGCAGTTAACACTGAAACAGTTATAACAGTGAAGCAACTTCATTAGTGTACAGAAACACAACAAATTTTCAGTCAAATATGGCAATTTCTTTTATAGTTGTTGCAGTTCTGTCTTTGGTTTAATGAATAAGAACCAGTGATGCAGTTCAGCATAGTCCATAGCAGTATTTAGAGATGACTTGCATTTGATGGAGTCTTGCAGATACTGGTGTGACAGCCTTGTGAGAAAAAAAAAAGTTGCTTCTCCTTAGGTAAAAGCCCTGGCCAGCCTCCAACAAAACCGCAGCAGCTCAATCAAATCAGGGAAACATTCAAAACTGAAACAGATAAACATCAAGAAACTCGTTTTTTTTTCTAGAAATTTCAACCACTGTCGTTTGAAGAATCCTCTGTAAGAAAATTTCCCTCCAACTGTAGTTGGTGCAAACCATTTCTGAAGAAAGCCGGGTGAAAAGGATTGTCTTCTTTGAAGATATTCCGTTGCACTGAGGCATCACCCTTCTTATCAAAGTATCCGTCAATAATGCAGCAATATAAAATACATTAGGAATATTTTTCACACAAAAAATGTATTTCAATTCTTTTGATGTTGTTCAGATCATTACATGTACACAGGTAGACCACATTAGCGATACGTATGACATACAAAAACTATGATAGCCACAGTAGAAGTGCAACAACAGCATTCTGATCATGAAATAGATCTAAATATTGACATGCATGGAAGCACAGCGAACAAGTGTACAGTGCAGTGGTCTCCCTCAAAGAAACGAAAACTACCTGATGAAGGCCCATATGCAGCAAAAACGTGTCATAGACTAGAAGAAATATACAACTAGAGACATTTTAGAAATTGGATAATCACTTTTAATGTATAGAATATGCTTTTAATGTCCTGTTGACATGTAATGATTTGACCATCAAAAAGTATTGAAATAAATTTTAGTGTGATACATATTCCTATTGTATTTTATATTGTTGCATTATTGATGGATACTTTGATAATAAGGTTCTTGTTTGCTTGAATGGAAGCAGTTGAGACACTTGGCATATATATATGGTACTTCATAACAAGTGATGAAGCCACATTTCACTTCTGTGAAACTGTGAATATACAAACTGTTTGTGCCGCAGTAGCTAGAATTCTCTTACCAGTGTGGAAGTATCACCCCACTTACAAGAATGATTTTGTACACTTTCAAAGACAAAGCTAAAAGTTTGTGCTCTTTTCCTGTTCCTAGACTCCTTTGCCACTGTGTCACACCTGGACATGCTTGGAGCTGTGCCTATGACCACAGCTGATGTAGAACTTGATTACTATGTGCAGGCACAAACATGCACAAAGGAAGAAAAGTGAACAGAAACAGGACATTGGAATGAGTAAGCCCGCTATGAACCACTCCAATGCAGAAATGAGCTGCCAGCAGCAAACTGAACTGTGTAGCACTCATATCTGCAGTAAGAGAATACTGACTCATCTGTTCCACCTGTACATGAAAATTGTATTCTATGCAGCTGCCAGGGAGCTGGATATAACATGGTATATCCAAGTCCCTCNGTGCACATGCCATCTCAGTGTAGTCAAGCTCTACTCTGAATGTGGAGTGTTCGTGGATGAGCAGCTGCCAGGGAGCTGGATATAACATGGTATATCCAAGTCCCTCAGAAACCAGAGTGTCACAGTCCCAGCTATACTTAAGGTGGAAGGATCTCACAAGAGATCACTGGATGTTTCAGAATTATAGCACGTGTTGGGTGACCAAGACATTTGTTGCACAACAAAGAGTGCTCATATTTTATATGTTTCTGTACATTTGTCAAATGGTTTCATTTCATCTCTATTTCCCTCTGTACGAGTATTAACAGGAAGCAACTATGCAGTATAATAAGTGATGGCCATAGAATAGGTCTAAAGGTGTTATAGCATGGCCTAGGGCAAGTTTATCATCCATAGAAAATATGGAGATCAGTTTCCATCTATTGCTTGATTACATAAAGTTTGCTCTTTTCTTTTCAGTCCTCATCCACATGTTAAGCATTATCACATCAAACAAAATTCCCGGGGTGAATTTTTCCTTTCTGAGAAACACTGTTGTGGATCTATACCAGATTTAGTCAATTACCACAGACACAATAGTGGAGGTTTGGCTTCACGACTCAAGACTAGCCCATGTGATCGGCCCGTACCCGCAACTGCAGGGCTTAGCCATGGTATGTATAAATTAGTTACACTTTCTTTTCTCTCTTGTGTATCATGTAGGCATATGCAGGTCTCCAGAAATACTACTTAAATCCATTAGCAACTTTTTGATTTCCACTCACCCATACCTTTTGATTGGCATTAAAATGTGCTTGCCATCTGCTTGAATTAACTTGTTTATGATGAATGTGGGAGCATGTTTCTGGAGATCCTCTAATTATCAGTTAGGTACTGCTTGTCTCAGCCTCATCTTCCTCTTCCATGGTTTTGTCATCTGTGGGGATGATATACCAGCATAGGTTGTGGTAATTTCTTTCTGCCTTGTCATTTGGCATGAGGTTTTCACGCTTGCTGCTGTTGATTTTCATTTAACTATGTTGATACTCTTTTAAGCCCTTGGAACTTAATGTGAAGTGTAGTTTTTTATAGTGGCTAAGTCCCACAGTACACAATAACAAGACAGGCACATCTTCAGTTTCAAATCAGAACTAGTTATATAGTTAAGATTATCATAGGTGGCAGCACCAGTCAAGGCCTGCATGTTTATAGAAACTCCAAATATGCTTACCATAAAATAATGAGAATTATAATAACCCAGCTGCACCTGTTTACAAGATGTTTGAATCATGACATCCATCTTAATGTAGCTCTGTGAATCCATACCATATTCAGAAAAGAAAGCTTCAGATAGTTCATTTCTCTGATGATTCAACTTATTCTGTCCCAAAAATGGTTTTGGTTATATTGCATTCAAGGTAATGATAATCAAATGCTCAGTTTATTTCATGTGTATATGCGTATGAAACGTGCCCATTGTGCAGTTCTCAAACTTAGAGTACTCCTTATATCTGCAGGAAAGTCTGAGGAGTGTCTTAATAAAATGTGACCATTATGCTTTTATAAAATAGGGAAAGTCTAGGTATTCATTGCAATGTGAAGGAGGAGGAGGAAACTTCGCAACACCACTGACCCGGCCGAACATTGCTACTGTAACTGCTGATAGCAGAATGAGTCATTAGCGCTGATATATGCGCGCCGTTACAGTTGCAGTCACAGCAGCAATCTGTGAGGAATATTGGGCCCGGTCAAGGGTGTTGCAAAGTTTCCTCCTTGATTGAACATCCTGTATTTCTCTTAAAATGAATTTTTGTTCCAGGTGTAACTTTTAATTACTGTTGTGTATTTCAGACAAGTGGGAAATAGATCCCCAAGAACTTATGTTACTGGAAGAGCTGGGCTCAGGTCAGTTTGGTGTAGTTCGACGAGGCAAGTGGCGTGGCTCCATAGATGTTGCAGTGAAGATGATGAAGGAGGGCACAATGTCTGAAGATGACTTCATAGAGGAAGCCAAAGTTATGACGTAAGCTCCATTCTGTTGCTACCATTGAACAGTATGTTAAAATATTCCCTACAGTCTGCTGCAAAATGTACTGAGCTAGAATCTAAACATCAAGGGTAAACAGGATAGAATGATTTCTAAGATATGCAGCAGACAAAAAGAGTTAGTGTCTTTTTTATATATATACTGTATGTGGGATTACTGAAAGAAATATTCATGGTTTTTTCTTGTTCCAAATTTACCTATGCTTGAGCAACAGTATGGGCACACGGTAGCATAGTTGGTTGAGGCACTATGCTATAAGCCAGAAGCTCGCAGGATTGAATCCTGATGAGGTGGATTTTTTCAGTTTACCTAATCCCTCCAGCTGCACTATGGCCCTGGGGTCGACTCAGCCTCTAACAGAAATGAGTACCAGGAATATTTGTGGGGGTAAATGGCGGCCAGCATATAAGGCTGATAACCTTACCACCATCTGCGAGCCAATTCTCTAGAAAATGTGAGAGTCTTGACATCTCACAACCCCATGGGCCTCCACGGCCTGTTACAGGGAAACCTTTACTTACTTTACTTTTTTCCTTTGAGCAACAGTAGATAAACTGTATACACACACACACACACACAACAGTAATAGTATGAACTTTGTAGTCTTTTTACATAGTCCGGGATATCTTCTGACTTAGCAGTGATCTTCATGGCGTAGTTAAATGTGAATATGGGCAACCATTTTAATTAAATCATTATATTTCTATTAGCATAAAACCTGTGGAGAATTCAGTGGGAAGTCTCATCATTTGTCATGTAAGCTTTCATAGTACTAACTTCCCTGCTTTTTCCTATATTCCTATAGAGGCCTACATGTTAACAAATTATGCACTAAAGTGGAAATTTAACAATAGTTCTCATGGATAACATGCACAGTCAGTCAGTCATAACCCATCTCCTTTATATACTTCACTTCACTTATCCACCTCAAAATGTTATTAATATTCACAGATTCACAGAATAGACATAATATACTAAAACAAAAGACTGATCACTCATTGGCGACATACTGCATGACTGACATTCATGTAGGATGGTAATGTTGAACATTTCTGTGCTGTAGTACCCGGAAATTGCTTAATGACAATGATAAATTTCATATATATATATATATATACCGCCTCTGTGGTCTAGTGGTCAGAATTCCTGGCTACAGATCTAGAGGTCTGGGTTTGATTCCCGGCACTACCAGATTCTTTTCTGAGAAATAATGGAATGGGGTCCACTCAGCCTCGTGATGATAATTGAGGAGCTGTTTCGAGGAAATAGTGGCTCTGGGCTAGGAAACCGAAATTAATGGCTGTGGGGATTCGTTGCGCTGACCACGCGACACACACTATGTGCTAAAGTTGGCACTAAGTTCACTGCCAAGCAGCGGTCACTTGGTCAGTATAGTTCACTTGTGGACTAAAACCACGGAGTTTGTTTATATATATATATATAGAGAGAGAGAGAGAGAGCGCTAAAGTTTTCTTCTGTAAAAATACAACATTGTTAGCAGTAAATCATCATCATCATCATCATCATCATACGTTCATTAAGACCGCAATGAAATGCAGAAGTATAATGTCAAAAATATGTGTATCTTGTTGCGTTCATTTCTCTGCTGTCATTTTTCCACCACTGTTACATATGATTTTGTATATTTAATATTACAGTAAACTTCAGCACCAGAACCTAGTCCAACTCTATGGAGTTTGCAGTAAACACAGGCCTATCTATATTGTGACTGAATATATGCGCCATGGTTCCTTACTGAACTACCTTCGTCGTCATGAAGCTACACTAGGAGTAAATGTCGGTATGCTTCTCGACATGTGTATACAGGTGAGGGACATACTGGTGTAATGTACATGTCAGAGGTTAAAGGTAAAGTTGTCCCTGTGCTTAAATAATTGAGCACTATGCCATGAAGGCGTATGGGGGAATGGATGTATAGATTCACATTTGCTTCACCTTGGCAGTAGCTGGAGAAAGAGCCCGGAAAAGAGCCCCTGACACCCATTGGATACGAGACTGGGTGGACCCCAGACCTGGTCTGGACAGCGTAGAGGATAGAAAATTCTTGACCCTACCGGGACTGAAATTCTAACCCCTTGGTTGTCCGGCCTATAGCTATACTGACAACTTCAGGAAAGGCTATGCTTGGTTTTGGATGGATGTATGTAGACCTGCAGGTTTGAGAATTGCTCTGAACTGTTATCTTAAAACTGGGAGGGTGAGAAAATATCCAATACATGATAAAGAAGAAACTCAAGTGTATATAATGTTAAATGTTCTAAACTATGGAGTAAAATTTATGTTAAGAATGAATGGGAACATCTTGGTAATGAGATGCATATTAAGAACACTACAAATAATTGGGACAACGAATCAGTGAAGAAAATGAGTTGCTTAAAGAGTTTGAAAACAGGAAGAGGGCACAGATAAGCTCTGGGTAAAAGGGACATTGAATTAAAACAGAAATGGATATGGCTAAAGGATACAGATGTTTTCTGTGTGATTGTGTGGGTAAAACTGTACTGGGACGGTAATGAAAATATCTGGATATGGGCTATTAGCATCTGTTAATGTATATACCAGACAACACATAAATTCATTTTCATTCAGAAATTATCGTATATTCCAGTGTGGATTTTGATGTTGCAAGTGTAATTTCTGTGGTTCTCATTTCATAACTTCATATTTGTTTGTTTGTTAGAAATTTTGTCAGACTTTTTCATTGTCTGAAACATATTTGATAAATACAGTAGGTCACTGTGGGAGTTGTGACTACTGCTGTCTTCAGATAATTGCTTTTCATTACTTTAAGATTAATGCTCACAGTTGGAGTCAAACCCAGAACATTAAATACTAGATTAGTACACAAAAAGAAACTGCCCTGAATACTTCCTCCAGTGATGGTCTAATTGACTATAAAGTGCATGCTTTGGTTCTCCTTGTGTCAGCAGTGGTAACTGATGCCAGTCTTGAGGTTCAGATTTGAAATGTATGGATTCATGAAATGGCTTCATTATATATCAGGTTACAAGGAATGTGATCACTGAGCCCCAGAAGATGGAAAGGGGTTAAGGAAGCAGAGCCAGAGATTTCTTGCAGCCTGCCCATATTACAGAGTTGATTCCTCAACCTATACACTTCAGACCTAAATATGGAGACAGACATCCATGTGAAATGTCAGTATCCAGATACAAAACTACACAGTTTCAAAGCCCAGAAGACCACAATCTGAACAATCACCAACTTGAAATCTCAGAACTTATACACATGTACATTCAGTGATTTAGTTGGTTTATCTGATGGATTCAGAGGGCCCATTATTAGCAGTGGATATACCTGAATCGTATATCATCCACAGATTTGTAAAGGAATGGCATACTTGGAGAGGCACAATTACATTCATCGAGATTTGGCTGCTCGTAATTGCTTGGTTGGCTCAGAAAATGTTGTGAAAGTTGCTGATTTTGGGCTTGCAAGGTAAGTCACAGTTTATGTTATATGTATTTGTGTATTTTTTTGTGGGGGGGGGAAGAGGTTATTTAATTACATTTTCAGTACTGAGACTATATAGCATTGGTAGTGTGTGTTTTATGTACATAATACAAATCCTTCATGACCAGGGTCAGTGGTGGGCTCTTGTCTCTCGTCTAGCTAAGCGCAATGTCATAAGATTTGTCTTTTGTGTAGTTTGTTTACTTCCCACAATTTTAGATCTTTTTTTCATGGAGACTGTGTAATTCATACAATTCTATTTCTGTGTACCATTGTGACATTATAACATGCTGAAAAATGAAGATGGTAATGTCACTGAAAATGTTTTCTAAGCTTCATAATTATATTTTCCTAAGATATATGTTACTAATATGGAAGTGCAAAATTGGTAACTTCCATGCAGAAATGGCAAGGAGCGCAAACCTGATTAAGGGGAATTATCATAAAGAGATCTTTAAATTATGGAGTGTGAAACTTACAACATATTGTCACTCAGGCAACTCAGGGTCACAGTACCTGCGCCATTCACCTGTTCTGTAGCATGACATACTGCAATGTTTTGTTTTTAACTAACATGTAAAAAGAAAAAAAAAGTAAAGCTATCCCTGTCCCAGGCCATGAAGGCCCATAGGCTTGTGAGAGGTTGAGGTTTCCACAGTATCTAGACAGTCTGTTCAAAGATGGCGGTAAGGTTGTCAGCCTTACATGCTGGCCACGCTTTACTCCCCAGGAAAATGATTTAATTAATTCCTGGTACTCATTTCTGTTAGAGGCTGAATAAACCCCAGGGCCTAGTGTAGCTGGAAGGATTAGGTCAACTGAAAAAAATCCAGTGACCTCATCAGGACTTGAACCCGCGACCTTCTGGCTTGTAGCGTAGCCCCTCAACCAACTACGCTACTGCGTGCCCCTTTTAACTAACATGACATGACATATTTATGTGGCAGATATTCAGGTTTTCAGCTTTTTATCATCCGGCAGTTGTGTAGCAGCATTGGAGACAGTGATATTCTCCTTTATAAAGATATACCAGCCCCTCTTGCTGTCATAATGCCTAGATAGGTTAAAATAAGTAGGGAGTGGGATAGGAGAGTACTTACTGCCACTTTCTGTCTACCTCCCTTTCGCATCTGTCCACTACATAGGCTCATCCAAGTGGAACAAATAATACCAACGAATCTGTAAATACAGTTCCCGTGGAACCCTCTGAATATGTGTTAAAAGAAATTAATGAACTCTGATAAATTAGGCAGTACAGTAACCGTCTTGTAAGTATAGCTCTATTTTTTTATTGCCAGTGAGGTGGGACTAAGTCCCTTGTACTGCGGCCATTTCTGGCCTATTGTACCAGCCCCAGATGATAGGTGAGGGTGATTGTGGAGCAATTGGTGGAATGAAGATTGGCAGGGGAAACCAAAGTACTCTGAACCTGCCCCAGCACCACTTTGTCCACCACAAATCCCACTTGACCAGACCCCGGGATCGAACCTGGGCCGCTGCGGTGGGAAGCCAGCAACTAACCGCTTGAGCTATGGCGCAACCAAGTATAGCTGTAAATACCAATTTTGGCATAGTGTTTCTTTGGTTACACAAGCAGTGAATAATATGGGATTGAGACCAAAAGTAAGTACATGTGAAGAGAATAATAATCAGGCATAGAGAAATACTTTGAGCAAAGTGGGAGGGAACCTGGTTCATCAGGCACCGCTCACCTACTGGGCTTCAAACATATACTTCAGCCGTCCCCCCAGATGGCATCCAGTGTTGCTGTTCTGAAATCCAAGGCACAAATAGCCTCTCAATGCAGGTGTCTGGGAAAGACCCATAACAAAAGGGAAGGGGTAGAAAAGAAAACTGGGTAGGAGAGGAGAAGTTGGGAAAGGGAGAACAAGAGATTTATAGGAAAGGAAAGGAGGGGTTCAGAGAAATATAACTCCTGGGTTTTTGGCATGGCTCAGGATGCAGAAACTTCTGCCATTTAAATTTTATTTATTTTTTTCATTTTTGTTAATTAACATATCAACGAAAAATTGTTTTTGTCATATTGTCTAAAATGTTGGCTTGAAATAGAAAAATCAGCTACTGACATCTGTTAAGAAGTAATTTAACTACTGGCTTTCAAATGGTGCAAGAATTGCTTGCCTTCCCATTGAGTAGTGCAGTGGCTGGACAGGCAAGACAGTACTGTCCTATTGGCATGTTCACTCTGATGTGTGTTGCAGGTATGTGTTGGATGACCAGTACACAAGTTCTGGAGGAACAAAATTTCCTATCAAGTGGGCTCCACCTGAAGTCCTAAACTATACACGTTTCTCTTCCAAGTCTGATGTTTGGGCATATGGTAAATATAAATTGTAGTTAGACTTGAAAGAATTCTGACGATGGTGCATACTGTACTTCTTTTGGCTTATTTTGGACTTCACCCATCGTCCGGTATATAAAAAAGACAAAAATACCACAACGTTTCGGAGACTGGATCTGTCTCCGTCTTCAGGTGTATAAGGAAGGTTTAACCTACTCAGTTGGGCCCCTTCGAATCCGTGAACACAAGCACAATCTTAAGCAGGGTCTTCTAGAGAAATCCAGGTTGGCTCAGCATGCATATGAAGAAGGTCACAGGGTAAGCTGGGATGAAGCTAGGATCTTGGAGATTGAAAGCAACAGCAGATACAGGAAATACAAAGAATCAGCTCATATGGCATGTTCATCCAATCCGATCAGCCAACCTAGTTTGGATATTTCTCCTATATGGATCCCCCTCATCAATGAAGAGGTTAACAAACCAAAAAATATAATTTCATGAATATTAGTGGTTCCACTACTACTGCAAGTTTTCTTCCGGGGATTAGTCTGATTCCCGGAAGTCGCCATGGTNTTGTTTCTACAGATCAAGGTTTGTCCAGTGATTGAGACTAGCTCTTTCTAAGGGGCCCAACTGAGTAGGTTAAACCTTCCTTATACACCTGAAGATGGAGACAGATCCAGTCTCCGAAACGTTGTGGTATTTTTGTCTTTTTTATATACCGGACGATGGGTGAAGTCCAAAATAAGCCAAAAGAAGTATAAATTGTAGTATTACTTGTGCCCCCCCCCCAAAGAGAGAGAGAGCAAAGTTGGCCCTGTGCTTAATTAAGCACCATGCCATGAAGATACATGGGAGAGTGGCAGTATTGTTCCATGCGTTCTGAACCTTGGCAGCAAATGGAGGCGAGTCTTCAGCTTCACACCCCTGCTGCTGAATCCCTGGGGAAAGAGTCCCAGTGCCTATTGAATAGGAGGCTGGGCAGGCCCCAGAGCCACTCTGGATACTATGGAGAAGAAGAAATCTCTTGCCCCTCCCAGGAAATGAACTCCAATTCCTTAGTCATCCAGCCTGTAGCCCAGTCATTATACTGACTGATCTATCTCAGATCTGGTAATTGTGCATGAAGATAATTTATCTGAAATATCATTGGCTGTAGGGGTACATTCATATTGGAAGTTAATATGAAAGCATTGTATGGAGATCTGTATTCAGAAATTCACTTCTGCCCTTGAAAATGTTTCATACTACCATCTAAAAGTTTGTGTGATAGCTTATCTCTTAGGTTTTCTGAGTCACACATACTGAATGTCATAGACCTCCAACTAGACAATCTGAATTGTCATCTGTTTTATTTAACAGCACTTTTGCACTGAGACAGCTCACTCAGTTGCCATACAATTAAGCTGTGGGCTGGACAGCCGAACAATTAAGGATCAACTTCTTGCAGTGCTAAGAGATTTCTCCGTTTTCATCAGCATACACACTAGCTCTGGGACCCTCCTATCCTCTTGTTCATTGGGTACTGAGGCATTTTTCCTGGGGGTATGGAGTACTGAGTATTTGCATGGGGGACAACTTGTAGCCACCCCAAGCATTCAGACCACTATTGGGCTGATTGTGTGTTCTCGTTTTCACTTGAACTCTTAAAATTATTTTTAATTCGCTTAGTGGGGGGTGGAGTCCCACTGGGTCCACTCAGCATGGCGACCACTGATTGGGCTATTGTAGCCTGCCCCAGGTGATTCTGATGATGGAGATTTTGGTGGAATGAAGATCAGCAGGGGAAACCGAAGTACTCGGAGAAAACCCACCCCAGTGCCACTTTGTCCACCACAAATCCCACTTGACCAGACCTGGGATCGAAGCCAAGCCGCTGCAGTGGGAAGCCAGCGACTAACCACTTGAACTATGGTGCGGCCTTCACTAGAACTCTCTGATGGACCCTTGTCCTCAATGCTAGAGCCAGAACCTGTTTGACTAAAGCCCTACTTATGTTGTGTCAGCTCCAGCTGTGCAGAGCTGAAAACCTTCATTCTATGCCCACTGAGAGCCAGATAGTGACCAAGTATGTGGTAGAAGGATTTTTCCTTCTGTCGACATCTCCTGCATGTAGCATCACCCATCATCCAGATGCCATCTCAGTGTACGCTGGCCAGTTAATAATCCCGTCACCATTCTTCACAGGAATTGGGATAGCTCAGTCAATATAGTGACAGGCTACAGGCTGGATGGCCCTAGTTCGATTCCCAGCAATGCAAGACTTTCTCTTTTCTCCACAGCATCCAGATTGGATCTAGGGCCCACCCAGCCTCCTCTCCAATGGGTACCAGTGGTAAAGCAGCAGGGGAGTGAAGCTGACCACTCCCCTCCATCTAGTGCTGAGGTCAAGCATGGTGGAGCTATACCTCCACTCCCACATATGTCTTTGTGTCATAGTGCTTAACTAATTAGGTACAGGGACAATTCTACATTTCACCTTCCTGCACTCTTTCTTGTCCAAGGCCAGTAGGTCCTGAGACAGTTTTCTCAGAGGTCTTTAACTGAAGAACTAACTTCATACCTGTTATGGCAGTCCAATATTTGGAGTAATTCTGTCAGCCACTTCTGGGGGTAAAATGGCTTTGGTGTGAAGCTGATCTAGTGCTGAGGTGATGAATATATTGTGGCATGTAGACCCGTTGCTAAGTAACAATAATGCATGGAAACAATTGCACAGCAGTGATAGAATGGTGTTTTCTGTGTGGTCCATGCCGATATGTTATAAGCAGGACAGTTAGTAAAGAGAGACAGTTGAGATGAGGTAATTGGTTTTTGAGTGACAGAGAGATCTGCTGAAGTCACATTATCATGAGCTTTTACTGTGAGAAGCTGGTAGCTGAGGCCAAGGATAGTTCAGAACCCCAGAGGAAGGGGAACATCTACCATTGAAAGCCACTCTCTCTCTCTCGGTGCATATGTGTGGAGGTGGGGTGAGAGGGGAGAGAACTGTACACGCACGATATCAGAGAGTCCAATAAATTCAGACATCAGTCCAAAACCCATCTGTAGTCACACTCTATCACATGACAACCTGGAATTCCACATCCCCATATGTCGTCATGGCATGATGCTTTATTAAGCTTTATTTTTTCACTTTAGTAATGTCAGTAGCTTGCCACGAGCTGATCACCCGCCCAAGGAGTCCTACCGAATGTCTTAAAATCTAGAAAAAAAAACTGAAGTGATCGGAGAAGTTCATGGAGGTAGGCCTAGGCCCACTGGGGCTGTAGTGCCAAGGAAAAAAATGTCAATAGCTCAAAGTATTAAGTAATGGCAGGATGATTAGTGACTAATGAATGGGAAAAAAAGTGGAAGGAAGTGTAAGTGGCCTGTAGGATACAAAAGTTTGTGATGGTGGTCCAGAGATAGGGACTAGCTCTATTGATTGGGCCCTACTGTATAAGCTTTTCCCCTGAGGACAAAGGCAGAGTCCAGTCTCTGAAACGTTATTTTTTTTAACAAAAACAGAATGATGGACATAATGTCCAAAAAGTTAATAATTTGGCATGGCTTAATTTAAGGAACTAACCTGGAATTTGTGTGTGAGGACTGAGGAAAACTACAGAACTCCTGAGGCATGATATCTGCTCCCCAGGATGAGGTTTCAATTGCAGAATATGAAGCAAGGATGCTGACCACTTTGTACATGAAATTTTGTGATTCTGCCTATAAGTGAACCTAATTGTATTTCAGTTTGAAGGGACTATCTTCTATTTTTATGCGATTCATTTGAACCATACATATATGTTCTGTGCTTTTTAAAGCTTCCTGCATAGCCTTGGTGTGACTACTGATTAATTTTGGATTCATGGAGTGTAATGTAATGTATGTACTATGAATGCATGAGATGTGATGCTATATAGTCAAATTGAAGTTCACCAACAGTTTAGAGGAGTCTCACTAGAACTTCTACCTGACTGTGTGGTGTCAGTTTCCTGAAGACAGCAGCACTCTCTGTATTCACCACCATGAAGACCTCCAGTCTCACATCTGTCAGCTTAAGGTATAGCAAAAGGCTAGATGGATATCTCTGACTGGAGTGTTGTGTTCAGGTGTCCTGATGTGGGAGGTGTTCACATGTGGGAAGATGCCATATGGAAGACTGAAGAATGCTGAGGTTGTGGAGAGGGTTCAGAGAGGCATTATCCTTGAGAGGCCCAAAGCTTGTTTCAAGGAAGTTTATGAGGTAAACAATATTTCACAATAAAAAATCCCATTTGTTCCTTTCCCTTGTCTGTTTCTATATTTATGTGTCCTTATAGAATGACTGTTGCAATTTTAGCTTAATTTTCTTAGTATATGATGTGATTAAATAGTTTACAGATCTGCTGCATGATGGCACTACTGTTACTAGTACAGAGTTTGTGTGCTGGGTGATGGTAGAATACAATCTACTGAATTATTTGTCATTATTTCAAAACAGTGAATGTCATTTAGATGGGACACATTGTGAAGTAATATCATGCATCTTGATGACAGTAATTTTTGTTTTTAAAAAAATTGCAGGCTATAAAAAACAGTCTATGTGCATCAGATTCTGTTTCAAACTAGAAAAAGCTGTTATGGAAATCTATTACATGAATGTTTTTGGAATTCAGAAGTGGAATGACTTAAGATTCTGAACACATAAGGGATCTATCCATGCACAGAATGGATGAAAATGTGATATGAATTACAGGAACTAGTCATATAAACAGATGTCTCAACATATGTAGATTGGCTAGTGGATTAAGTCAACCAGCATTTAAGATGAACATACTGCCTCCATCATCAGGGTTAAAGAATAAGCCAGGCTAGAACACAACATGATGCAGGCAGCTGGTTTCATGCTTGGCATGCTTTTGAACTCTGAAAGTAGAGGCAGTATGTTCCTCCAAAATGCTGGCTGACTTTCATTGGGCAGCACAGTGTTGTGTTCCACAAATTAGAACTCTTCATAGCCACTGTTATGAGAACCTCAGAACCAATAGACTGGAACTATATTTGTGCCTTGTCTTTTGACTGAGAAACAGAGGCAGAATTGGATCAGTGTATGTCATGACCTTAAGGAAGTACTTCTGACTGACCCGCAGTTCCTTTCTAAGGTCACCTACCATAGTTGACAAATTCTGGGTATATGAAACATATTTTTTTTTATGGTTTATTTAATGACACTGTCAGTATATGAGACTGTACTTCATCAGATAGTAGGATGATTGTGAATAATGAATTAAAAAGGAGCAGATGGAAGTGGGCATGGCCTAATTTGAGGTAGTGTCCTGGCATTTGCCTTGAAGGAGTGAGGAAAACCTTTAGTCAGGATAAATGATATGTATGCCATCCCAAGTGCAAACAGTATATTATATGTCCTTGATCTTGCTCTCCTTTACACTACATGTTTCAGCCTCAAACAGCCATCATCAGATGTATACACTCACGTTGTTCAGTATATTTGTGTTGGGCTTGTGATTTATTAGTTCCAGTAATGGGTTTTTGTGAGTATGATAATCAAGTTTCAGGGCCATTATGAGACTGTGAATATCTTGAGTGGCTCAGTGAGGATTAGTTTTTCATTAATGACTCTTCCTCATATATTTTGGTGTGGCATGAGATATTAAACCTTATGTTCTTATGCTGACATGTGGAAAAAGACTGAGAGGAACACTGCTCTGAAGGTTGCATCTTTGAACTGATTTTCCNATGTATACACTCACGTTGTTCAGTATATTTGTGTTGGGCTTGTGATTTATTAGTTCCAGTAATGGGTTTTTGTGAGTATGATAATCAAGTTTCAGGGCCATTATGAGACTGTGAATATCTTGAGTGGCTCAGTGAGGATTAGTTTTTCATAAATGACTCTACCTCATGAAGTTACTTAGAATAAAATGTTGTGTAAGTTTGTGTATTTAATTAATTACCCATATCGTGAAGACACTTTAGTGACTGGAAATATGACTCCACCATTCATAACCTCAGCACTAGTTGGCAGTGAGATCTCAGCTTCATGGCTCTGTCATTTTATCCCCGGAGAAGCAACCCACACAGTGTATAAGACTCTTGGTGGGCCCCAGACCCAGTCTGGACCTTTTATTAAATTCCTGTGAAGAATAATATGAATATATTCTATATATTCATACCTAATTACGTATGTAGTACTTCACAGCATATATTTTGGTGTGGCATGAGATATTAAACCTTATGTTCTTATGCTGACATGTGGAAAAAGACTGAGAGGAACACTGCTCTGAAGGTTGCATCTTTGAACTGATTTTCCCAGTTCTGTTGCATAGCAGAGTAACACATATCACTATACATATTTCAGGTAATGAGGAAATGCTGGAGTCATTCTCCTGAGGACCGCCCATCATTTCGTTCACTCAAGGAACAGCTCCTCAACGTATCAGAGGGGTTACTGGCCGATTGACTCTCCCTGCTTCACTCCACCCTGTCCTCATCAGTGTCACCAAAATCACCAAATCCTTCTCCTCATAATCCCCCTCATCCTCCAGGGCCTCCTGCCACAGCTTCACAAGAGGTATGCATTTTCTGTGCCTCCTATAGCAGTGGACATCCCTGGATTGAGATATGCCGAGCCATACAGGCAACAAGACGCAAGTGAGGGCATCTAGATCTTCGTGTAAGCTGTTGCTTCAAGTCTTCTAAGTCAACATGGATTCATATGTCAGCAGGACTGAGATGTGCAATGTTAAATGTATGTGTTCTTTGGATATTCCATGGTAACAGCAATCTATAATCTTTGTCCCTTGTTCTCATTTTATATTGAGCAGTTGTCAGAATTATTTTAAGATGGAACATTAATTTTATAATGTCACAAATTCTGGTTGCAAGAAGAAGTTTATTGTATGTAAGCAATGTTAAACTTTCCAGATTGAACATTCCTATGTAGAATCTCCTGCAGCAGTATCATTCACAAAACATATCTCTATAATCTTTGTGGTGCGTAATGTTACTTCTTCAGACCTATGATGGATCTCGGTTAGCTTAAGAGTGTTCATATATTTTTGTGGCCAAGATCTTGGGATGGTTTTTAACCCCTTGAAGCCAGAAAACTATGTTTATCCTTTTGACTTCCGAGCCCCGGTGTAGAACCACTGCCAGAAATGCCAAGGCTGCTTGGGGGTAAATGCAATTTTGCAGAAACACCTGTAATACTTCCCTCAAGTGACCTTCAAACAGCTGCAGATAGAGACCATCTGAAAAACCCCCTTATTTTCTGTAGACATGGTTATCTGATGCTTGATACTATCTGTTGACAGAAATGCTGTACTAATCCATTAACAGCAAGCTGATCTCTGACTGTGACCTGCTTTATCTCATGATCAGTTTGGATGTGGTGTACTAAGGGTTAAAATGGATGCCATGATTCTCAGAGCTTATAAGTCGCTGATGCAAGGGTATTTGAATTCTCATTATTTTAAAGTAAAAATGTATATTTTTCAGAGTTTCTGAAAGCACCCAGGCTTTGATTAGTACTGTTATCTATGTAAATTATTCTTAGCTATATCATTGGTTTCAGTTTGAAATCAGAGATCTGTTTGACTTAGGCTGGGGCCACACGAGCGCACAAAGTACATACATTGCTGAGGACACCACACAGTTGCAGAGTGTGGTGCATAGTTTTTTGTTTGCTATGGAGCCTGAAGAAAGCGTAGCATTCGCCTCTCTTGTTTATTTCTACGTCGGACGTCATGACATTCGTTACAATGGACGCATTTTGTGTGCTCGTGTGGCCCCAGCCTTAATGTTATGTGCCACAGCACTTTGCCACTTAAATCTCTACTTTATTTTAGGCTCAAAGGGATTAATAGTTCGAGAGCAGATGTAGAATGGGACCCTTAACGTCTCACAACCCTATGGGCCTTTACAGCCTGTTACAGGGATAGCTTTACTTTTTTTACTTTACCCTAAGAGGATTACTTTTAGCTTTTATTGTGATCATCAGAAAGCAAATAATAATATTATAGAGATGCTTGCAACATGAACAACTGAAGTTGCATCAGGCAGAGGTTATGGTAAATAAAGGTTCACATTTTTCAAAATATAACAGAATCTTTTTAGTATTATCTTTATTAGGACATTTTCATATGAATGATATTTGAATCTAATGGTTCCAGTTCACATTCTACAAAGTATGTGGTTGGATTGTGGTCTTAGATTCCTCCAAAATGATGATAATCACTTACGGCATTACATGGTGTCACAATCCAGAATACCACACACAATTAATGTCTTCCCAGTGAAAACCTCATTTCTCAAAATGTTGTCATGACTAGACATGGGGTTTGAATTGATGATCAAATTTATTGAACACTTTTAATTTGTGACTACAAATTAATTATAATGTTTTTTTTTTCAATGGATGTTGTGTTAAATACAAGGGTTGGATAAAAAGTAGTGGCAACACTGCTGTAACATGAAAGATGTGCATCATGTGGCAGTAGTGCCATCTGTAGCTGGTAGCAGAAGTTCAGTTGAAGTAGCGTAGTGACTGGCTCTAGTTGTGTTTCATTGAGTTGCATTGTGCATCATCTTGAAGTGCAGGAGCCTAGTTCAAGCACCCTAACAACATCATCATCATCATCATCA